CTCTGCAACACCTATTATGTGGCTGACAAATAACTCCAGGTCAGGGTATCTCCACCGACGGTTGAATAGGATACGGGCTCTGTGCGGCCTATTAACTATATCAACAGTGAAATCGGACAGCACGAGGCACACGGCGCAATACACCCTCCAGACAACCAACCAGAACACGCAGAAATCCTAACCGAACTGATAAAGCCAAGTACATGCAAATGGATTGACTGAATGCTTCTCGGTTACAAATAGAATATCGATCAGTTCATGTAGCATTAGAACCGATTTATACACACAATGATGTATAGACCCTCATATATCATAAAATAGTGCGGTCTCAGAATATTTACCATGGAAGCAGACTCGGTTCCCGGTTTTAGAGAAATGAATTTCGAATGTTTTTGATGAAATCCAAATGCGTAAAATAAACAAGCACATTTATAGCACATTAGATTTGTAAACCCTAGTGAACAGACATGCACAGTTAGGCAGGGACTATTAGAATTAAAAAATATAGGTCAACTCCACGGCAAGTGAATTGATGGGATCAACAACTTTTGGGCGCACAGAACGGGATTATGTATTCGGATTAGCAACGCCTCACTTATCGCCAACAGTTTTGCGTTACAGCTACGTAACAACGGTTTGAAAGAGGAAGCGTGATCAATTATGTGCTTGGTTGTCATGAGGTGTTTTGCAATTGATGACCCCGGGTTGGTTCTGCCTATGTATGCGTCACCGCAACTACAGGTGAACTGATATACTGTATTTGAGACAGAACTGGATTGCCAACCATGTACACGTTTGTCCAAATCGATTAGACGAGTAGAGGCAATAAGTCGGAGTTGAGCAGCTGGGAGTGTGCGGTTGAGAGCTGACTTCAACTTTTGGCGCCCACCGTTCAAAAAGTGATCGCCTTTAAAAGATAGTTTGATGTAAACGGCTTTCTGGGGGAACAGTTAGCGATGGATTACCTTTTTCAGTTTACTGTGAATATCGAAACACTGAGCACGTGCTCGTGCGAATAGATGGCTTTGATTGCTACCGGCAGGACAGACAGCAAAGTAGAAAAAACTGGAGGTGGCGTGGCAACTTACATCAATGTTTCCTAGTGCGGCAAGTTTGAAGTGATATACAACTTCTGAAAAATGCATTGACTGTTTGTGCGTTCGTTGTCATCCCAAATTTTCCCATCAAAAAAGTACAATCATCACTAATGTGCACATATCTCCCTCGTGTTATCAGACGGAGATTTCTGTTCTCTTTGATTCCTATATCCCGTTTCTAGTTTCATTATTAGATGAAAATCTTCACTTATTTGTTGGTGATTTCAATCATGCAAGCATTTCTCCCCTGCTTCCGTTTGGTCTGTTGACCTCGTTCTCCTACCAGATGTAGTTTTGTGCTGGACAGTATTATAAACCATCACAACTTATTCTCTCTTAAACTAATGACCCCGGTCTCTACAAGTGACCGAAGGTATACTCTCATACTGCTTATCAAACGTTCATACGTTCTACTCAGATAAAATTTCATCTAAGGGACTTTTCACCCAACCGCATCTCTCTTCTCAACTGTTCTGTTGTGATTGTTCAGCCTTGGTTGGATTTCTGTCCATCGCTTTTTAAATGTGTCAGTCTGCTCACTGAAATGATTAAATCGATCTCTAACTTGTGTTGTCCAATGAAAACCCTGTTCGTCTGTGACGGCAGAAATATCTCATCCTTTTGAAATCACTGTGAAGGCACAAAGAGAGGGCCTACAAATCTCGCCATGAATCAATTATAAAGCACTATTCTGATTTAATCGGGTCTGAGATAACGTATCCAAATGTAATCTTCGACACCCAAATTCTGTGAACAAAGAGCATCAGGCTTTTATGGCAAGTCAATAGCCTCCTCTGTGTGCAGAACAGCAAACACTGGAATACCCCAGTGGACGTTAATAGCATTAACGCCGCTTTCATCCACCCGCCAAATGAGAGCCAGATTCCTTCATTCCCATGCAGCGACTGTGGTGAAGGAGAAGACCGATGATGCTTTCAAATCGCGTTTGCAAGAGCACTTTAAGGGGCTATGGAGGAACGAACACATGTGATAGGACCTTTGACCCAATGCTGACGGGGCTTACACAGGTATCCTGCCCTCCGCCCTAACCACTGAAAACTGAAGATATCTTGTCACATTTGAATTTTGTTTCTTCAGAAACCCGGGCAAACTGCTAACATTATCAATAAACCGAACACCGTTATTACAACTACCGTTATTTCAAACGCATGACTAGATGGCAAAAAGTAAACACCTAATCCTATGAAATCCCAGCACAAGGTTACACAGACACACATACACACGAGCAGAAAACACAAACACATCAAAATAAAACGTACCTCCGTGGAACCATTGCGGTATAAGCATTCGCCACATTCGGAGTATCTTGCTGAACAGATTTGTGCGGATCCATGCGCTGATCGTCTCGGACCGTGTCATCCGATTCGTCATCACTCGAATCGAGAAGTTCGATTCGATCTCCACCAAGGATCAAATCGTTATTAGGAACCTCAAGCACTCGATAACCATCAGCTGTTGATGATGTGATTGGCAAAGATGACTGCTCCGTTGTAACTGGTTTATGCACAGTTTCTGAGCCGTTCACAGCTCTTGAACAAACATTGACGATTAGTGGACCGCCTGCATCATTGCCTGACGTGACCGAATTGACACATCGCGAGTTCGTCAAACGCATCACAGTCTCTGCTGACGCCTCAGACGAAGAAAGTAGTGGTGGTGGAGTGGAAACGACCGATGACGACACGTTCGACGAAGATGACACAGTGACAGCAACACCTGGACACAAAGCTGGACACGATCCAACATGAGAAGTCGGAGGGCTCCCTTCAAACGAACGCATGTATCCATTCTCCACAGAAGAGGACAACATCTGTTGTGCTTTCAATCGTAAACCTTTCCAAGGCCTTTTCGGCCAACCTTTCGCGTGCATACAGTTGGAGATATTCACCCATATCTGTTTGTACTGATCAGCAGTCATCTGTGTGGGGATGTTACGAAGACTGTTCCGTGTCTGAGTAACCAGGTCGATCAAAGCTTGCTTCTCCGGTAATGTATAAGGACCAACACGTCCTCTGCGCACCGGATGCTCCACATCTACACGGCTCCGTTTCAATACGTCCGTTTCGCTCATTGCCCAGGCGGTGAGTGATATCAGTTGTTTGTGCGAACGCGTTCGTGCTAATCCAAGTGACCAGTGCGACAACGCACCAACTTTGACGCTCTGACTGCCTGTCTGTCTAGCGCTCTGATTCTCTATCCCTCCGGCTACTAATCGTTGGCGTTTTGTCTCGTTCACCTCTCACTCGCGTGCGTGTGCGTGAAGTTGTGTCTCGATGTGCATGTCTGTTCAGGTTAATTCACATTACTCGTCACTCTTGCTTCACGCTCCAACCAATTTCGATCGTATCGATCGAAATTGGTTGTGTTTTTATTCACACTCGTGTACGCACGAGTGGAGACACAACCAACCCACATTCATACGTTGTGTTTCTATTGGTCTATGGTGAGGCAGTTGTAATGGCACGAGGCCAGAGTATGAGTTTTTCTCACTTCCGGTGGTGTGTTTATTCCACGCTCGTTTCAAATGCCGTTGGTTCAGTGTTGGATGCACCCACAGAACATTTTTGTTCAGCGTATTTAAGGCCTTTAGCATCGGTTAACAAAATCCATTTAATTTGATGATGTTGCTTTGTGACTGATTTGTGATACGGGGAAATATTTGCGAAATATCTTTTGATCTTCCGCATTTCATACAAGAATCAATCTAGGAACATGCTGATCCGCTCAGAGAAATTTATTGATCTATGATACCACACTGCCTGCGAGAGCACGTCATTAGCGTGCAAAATGTCTCGAAGCCAAAATGAGCGCATTTTAACGAAAATCGCTCATTCGTAGTAATCAATTAACTGTTTGGACTGCCTTCCACAAATGCCTCCTATAATCCAATAGATCTTCGTTGATTTGCAATGGTCCCTACCGCATATCTCTCGTGTTTCGTATGACGCTATTCTCTCCAAACTAATTTCTTATTGAATTATATACACTAAATCCATTTTGATACTCCCTCTCCATCAATACCCTAGTGATTGTTATAAGGTACCCATATTCCCACAACAATCATCAACCATCTAAATTGAAGCAAAAATTCGCTTTTTAAGAGTAAATATATCACGCTCAACCAATGAAGATGTCAATTTTAAAACGCAGTTTGTAAAACTATTTAGGATCAATGAATTCTAGCAGTAGTCTGGTTTTATCCTGGTGATTATAATCCATAAATTGGTGTCAGTACAGTCAATCTCCTGCTATGTCACACATATGAGAAATTGCATTTCCCAATATGTTGCCACATTTAATGAAATAAAAACCAATCGTATTAGCATAATAAAGTTGATTCTGACTATGCAATGTCTCTCCCTCAGTATGTCGTATCTCTTGCTACCTACTCACTTGGTTGCTGACTGACGCACGGGTTGGCCATTGACCAAGCAACATGCAATGTCGCATTCGGCCAATGGCGTTTCGTTTAGTCTGTCGCATTAATGACGCTGTTCACCAATTGTATAGCCCCTGTGAGGAAGGCATACAATTGTCAGAAATTGAAGTCAGTGTCATTTGGCGTGTGAGTACTATTCCGATTATCACCCTGGCTGACTTTGAATTTCTGGAGCCACTTCAACGGTTGATGTTTTGCATCGTAAAACAACATGATCTTCGTATTTACAGCCAATGAATCTAGAGGGAATGGGCGATTATTTGGCATACATTGAGAAGAAAAATTGTGAAAATATTGCACCTTGCATAACACCAGAATCAACCGGGCGAGTAGATGACTTCTTGTCGTCGATTCCCGTGAACTGCCTTCTATTTGTGAAATAATCGTAGATCAATCTGCCATCGTTTGAATTAACACGACTTTCGCTAATCGGTTTGGGCAGTACCGATCGATCAAAGCTGCCGAATGCGTTTTTATACCAAAAACATTCTATTCTGACGGTCTAACCTTTCTTGTTTGAGGCCGAAATTATTGAATGAACGAAGTAAGCAACGAAAGCAAGTGCTGAACCTGAAGAACGGTGTGCAAACTGATGTATAACATATTTTGAAGACTCAGTGACAACTCACAATAGAAAGCATCTCTAAACTAATTTGAGCATGACTGACGTGCAGGCGATGGGACCGTACTTCCCAGGTTCCTTTTTGGGGACGGGAGTTTTCTTGACCAGTCCCCAAATATCAAAGATTTTCCCGCCTATCAGACAGTCATTGAATATTTTAGACAACGAGACCGAAAGTGTGTCCGCACATACCTTCAGTACCACGCCTGATAGTTCGGCTGAACCAGATGCTTTATTCATCTTCGTTTTCTTTACCTGTCGGAGGACCGTTGCGGGTTCGATGGTTGGTGTCAGTGTAGACCTGACCATGTCTTGTAGGGCTGTGAACTGTGAAACTGGACTAAACTCGGAATTTAGTCTTTAAAAGTCGAAAGTTTCCCTTTTGTGTTTGTAGGTCCCGCTATACATGCGTTTGACAGCTCTCCACGTGGCACGAAAACTAGAGTTTCCCAGGATAATTTCGATGCACGAATTATTTAACCGTTTATTTCAGCCTTGATTGAATTTGTAAGCCACTTGACATGGGTTCTGCGTCCGTTCTTATAGGCCCGTTCCTTCCGCCTGTATAGCTGTTTTAGTAAAGGTGATGAATATCTTTCTTTATAGATGAAGACCGTTTCAGTAACATGTTCACAGAGGGCAGATAGATTATGATATGGAAGCACCGGAAAATCTGTGGAAGCAATCAGAGATCTTGTTATAATTCCAAAAGGCGGTCGAGAATATTCGTTTATTGAGGATTTCAGATGCGATATCAGTAATTTGGAATATATAACACAAAATCTAAGCAGAAACATACCATCGACGTTCCTGGTGGCACGTCGAACAATGCACAGGGTAGTCGGTAGTTATTCTCTCTAACTTCACTTGGCCCTCAGTGGTCTTGTTACATTTTTGATCCTCTAAAGTTGCCTACTACTCACAAGTGAGTAATATCTCACAACAGTCTTGGCCTTTCTAGGTTCTCGCATGCCAATTCCTTTGACTCATTATCTTGAATGGTCTTCTTAAAAACGTGTACTGCTTAGTTTTGTTGTATACAATGGGACATACTTTTAAGATACACTGATCAGAGCTACTTGGAGGAGCACGTTTCTGGACTTTGAAAGTTTATGTTGTATTTATAAAAACGAAATCTATCGAGTGTGGTAAGAAACCGCACCAAATTTTCTAGACCCAGTGTGTTGAGGAATGTTACATCAGGTCTGTTAAAATCAACAACAAATATACACAAAGGGTCGCTTGTTCGTGTTATAATGGAGGTAGAAAAATATCCAAAACCTATCGCTGTCAGATGCTGATATTGTGGGTGCCAGGTAAATGTTTCCAAGAGGCATGGAATAAAACTCACTAAAAACACGAGGCTTACATTCAATGACGTGGCAATTGATTCTATTCGTCGATTATTCGTAGATGACGGCCGTTGATTTACTCCAGTTGTTGTTCACGTAACTTGCAACAACTCCACCTCGTTTACGGATACTTGCGAACGGTTGACCCGATACAAGTTATATCCATCTAATTGTACAATTTCACTGGGAATTTCTTTGTGCAGCCATAATTCTTGTAGCGAAATAATCCCGAGGGTTATGTACTCTTTTTCTATTTGATATCCCGCATCTCATCGACTTTTCCCAACAGAGAACGAATGTTGCTTGTTAAAATGAGAGGAATTCACATTTTACTGGTACTGCACTGTCTAGGACCGACATCCCAACCTGCGCGACGTTTTCTTTCTCGGCCACCTTGTGTATTGATAACCCTCTTGGACTTATTTCTGACTTTGTTCGAATAATTCACAAAAAGTGAGGTTCGCACGATAGCACATGAAGATTTAATAAACTCAATCGTGTGGGACAGCTTTTGGTGTCCCTGANATTGATCACGATGCGATCGATGATGAATGAAACAAAAAAAATTTGTAAAAATGATTTTCGAGATTAATGACACAGCCTAATTCAAAGGCCCCACTCTAGAACTAAAATTCCGGGGAGTACAAATGATAGATTCCTGTGTCCAAAATGAATTTGTGCAGGGCGCCATACTCTAATACCACATCTTTGTATATGAATTTGGCACACTGACTTTGGGTTCGTAATGAAAACAAGTAGCTCGAGGTCTGTTGGGCTGGTGACTACATTTGGTTACAGCGGGGTTGTTTGCACACTCTTCGAATATGACCAAATTTCCACACCCATAGCACCATGGCGTTTCCGAACCGACAAGTGGAGCGCAGATGGTGAGCTCAATTGGTTTCGCAGTGCCAGAAATGTCACACTGTGGCTTGGATGCATACTTGACCACTGGAACTCGAACTGGATTCTGGCCGTACCGTTGGAGTAGAGTGACCGCTTCGCTGGGAGTAGCTTGAGTCAGATCATCCTGTTGTTCACAGATCTTGCGTGCCTCTGCAAACGTAAGTGTGGCAATCGGAATAGTATTGAATGTAGAAATACGAGAATCCGTACTGTACTGCTCAGAACTGAATTGGCTCCAACCCCGTACTGCAGACACCAATGAAATACACGAGGGATTGATAGCAGCAAATGCTTATGATTATTGATAGAATTAGATCATGTTTTACAGAATGTAATGGTCCATATCATTGGTTGAACGCGCATCCTCTAATCACGTGACTGTTAGCGCCGACGCATCATATGTACTAACTCGGATGTCATGTTCGCCCGGTGTACCATTAGTCTCGCTTTCTGAACGGCAATTGGATGACATGAAACTGTACCTAGTCGTGCCCGGATTACGGTCACGGAAGTCTGGATCACCACAGCAAGGTCCTCCTTTTCTAGCAATTTTCGTTATCGTGTCCAGCTGTTGATACCTGCCACTAGACGGTTGCACAGTTGTTCCTCCATATGATCGCCATAATTGTAACGAGCCGCCTGCTACTTTGGCTGGATGATGAAATCGCGACAAGTGATGTTTTCCGCACGTACGAACGAATTGCATTTGGCCTTTTCGTGTAGCCGGACCTCAGTGGGCAACAGGTGGTCAA